GATCTCCTGATCTCGTGATCCGCCCGTCTCGGCCTCCCAAAGTGCTGGGATTACAGGCTTGAGCCACCGCGCCAGGCCTCTGTTCTATTTTAAAATAACACTCGTGTATTCAGTGAGCATGATTGTGGAAATGCATCCTTAGAACAAAGTTTTTGGTTTAGGAATATTATTTTATAATCATTTATTGTATGTATTTGAAAGACCTTTCACAAATTAATCCTTTTCATAAATATGCTATTTCAAGATTATTATATATTCCTTAGATTACTTGTTGTTTATAAAATAAAGGTGTATTTCTATTTTAGGACTAAAAGTAATATCCATGAAATACACTGTATGAAACACTATTATGATCTCAAAGTTTTGCTCCAATGTTTTTAGCAAACTTTGTAAACTTCACTCATTTACATAACCTGATTACAAAACCTACTTCAGACTGGAGCTGGAGTACCATCATATATATATATTTAGAAAACAAAGGTTTTGGTGTATTGGGATTGAGGTAAGAACTGTATTATATCAAACATAAAATGAGTAACATAATAAAGTTCATAGTACTTTAGTGTGAGGCAAAGAATACTCAAAAATGGAAAAGAGACTGTTTAATGAAAAAATCAAATTATTTAACCAGCAATTCCTACAAAGAAACCAAAATACATGCAAAATAACATAAGTATAAATAGAACACATTAAATCTTCTCTGGTCTAACCAGAGGGCATTTTCTTCTTAGTGTTTTTTAACAGAAAATTACAAACAACAAATAAAATACAGTAGTATACAGAACCATCGATACCTGTATCTTGATGGCAGTGCTAGCTATGCAAATCGAATCTTACACATGATAAATGTCACAAAATCATATACATATGTTGCATGCATATCGATTTTGTGCTTTTGATATTGTTTTCAGTTACTTAAAGTGTAACCATTGGTGGAAACGGGGCATACATGATTACTCTGTGCTGTCTTTGCAACTTACTGTGAAACTATAATTATTCCAAAATTCAAAGTTTTTTGCATCATTCATACAGGTATAGTAAACGTACCTTAGAACATTGCTTGTGATTCTGGCACCAAACCAGGGAACCATTGTTCTGCAAAAAGAAAAAGGAAAAATATTCATTATATACTCTTCTAATAGAAAGCTACACATACACAGATTTCTAATTTAAAATTATAATTTATGCATATAATTTTTGAATATTTGCATTTTAACAAATGCAAAACCTGATGTCCTTCCCTTCCAATGACAGAAAATGTGTTTGTAAGTTTCATTTTGTTGTTGATTTCATGATGTAAACAAAGACATATAAAATACTAAAGATTCCAAGCTGTCTGAAATGAAAAAGGGTCTGAGGCAACTTTGATGGTGTGTTGAGCAGTGAAGCAGGTAAATGAACACTAGACGTTCCACCAATAGTCAGCGGTTTTGAGAAATTTACAACTTAAGCATTGTGGCTGCTTTTGACCTCAACCAATTTACAGGAATAAGAGTTTGGGATTGGGAGAAAGATCTTGTATTGGTCTGTTCTTACACTTCTATAAAGAAGTACCTGAAACTGAGTAATTTATGAAGAAAAAAGGTTTCATTGACTCACAGTTCTGCAGGCTTAACAGGAAGTATGGCTGGGAAGGCTCAGGAAACGTACACTCATGGCGGAAGGCAAAGGGGAAGCAAGCACATCTTACCATGGCAGAGCAGGAGAGAGAGAGAGCAAAAAGGGAAGTGCCACACACTTTTAGGCCATCAGATCTTGTGAGAACTCACTCACCATCATGAGAACAGCAAGGAGGAAATCCACCCCTATAGTCCAATTACCTCTCACTAGGCCCATCCTTCCAATTCGACATAAGATTTGGGCAGGCACACAAATCCAAACCACATCAGATCCCATGTGAAAAGCCTTCTCTTACTCCTTCACCAAACATATGATCACAGACAAGAGACTTAACATCCCCATGCCTCAGTTTATCCATCAGTAAAGCAAGCCTAACAGCAATATCTCATGCATCAGGCCACTGGGATAGCTAAATGAAACAATAGATACACTAAATATATAACAAATATTTGGGGCAGTGTGGTGGCTCATGCCTGTAATCCCAGCACTTTGGGAGGCCAAGACGGATGGATCACCTCAGGTCAGGAGTTCGAGACCAGCCTGACCAACATGGTGAAACCCTGTCTCTACTAAAAAATATAAAATTAGCCGGGTGTGGTGGCGCATGCCTGTAATCCCAGCTACTGGGGAGGCTAAGGCAGGCGAATCATTTGAACCTAGGAGGAGGAGGTTGCAGTGAGCTGAAATTGCACCATTGCACTCCAGCCTGGGCAACAAGAGGAAAACTCCATCTCAAAAAAAAAAAAAATTGGACTATGATTTATTATCCTGATCATGTTTTTTTTGGTCATGTTTTTTTCTCTGGTTGGGATCTTTTAAGTCAGGTTATGCTAGGCTGGAATAGGTGGCAAAGCTAGCAGAAACCATCACCCAATAGCTAAGACGTCATGACCTCTAATTCTCTGAAGTTCAAGGTGGAGATGAGACAAAATCACCCATTTCCTATGTTTGAACGTCTAAACTTTTAATATGAAGGATACCAGTATGGATAGAGCAAGATGATACATGTTTGCAGTTATGAGAAAAGAAAATTGAACCAAAAGATATCTTTTAGAAAATACTTTTATAGCAAGTTTATTGAGATACAATTCACAAAATTCACTCATTTACACTGTACAATTTGAGTATATTCAGAAAGCTATACAACCATCATCACTATTTAACTGTAGAACATTTTCATCAGCCCAAAAACAAACCTGGACCTATTTGTAGTCACTCCCATTCTGTCTTCCCCACTACTTGTCAAACCCTGGCAAACACTAAATCTACTTCTGTCTTTATCTATTTGACTATTCTGGATATTTTATATAAGTGGAATCATACAGTATGTGTCTGGCTTCTTGATGCTAAATGCTACAGCAATCTTGCTTCATGTACATTATAGCATATATTGGTACTTCATCTTTTTTGACTGTCAGTTTCAGCTATATGGATATACCACATTTTGCCCATCCACTGCCAATAATATATCTGAATATGTCCCTTCCCAGTAATAGCTTAATTATAGAATCCCCCACAAACCAGTAAATAAACCTCAGCTGTATAGGATTGGCAATCTTCTTCAATGTGAAGATTATTGCTTAAAAGATCTCAGTCCCATATGAATGCTTTAACTATGAAACCTCTCTAGCATACAGCCCTACTTTTTACTTCTTCTCAGCCTTAACTCCCAATAATTCCTACACATGCTTAGGATTTTAGCCAGCCTTAACTCCCAATAATTCCTACACATTCTTAGGATTTTAGCCAGCCTTAACTCCCAATAATTCCTACACATTCTTAGGATTTTAGCCAATCTCCTATGAACCTACATACCACCTACTGAATTCCATACGTCCATACCTGGGCCCTCATCTCTCCCCACACATCTATGCCCCCCATGGAGAGAGCAAGGTCTGAAGCTGGAGACGCATATGAACAGCCTAGGGTGAAGTTCGGTATGATTTTTGGCAGGGATTACATCAGATAAATAATTAGATTGGGCAGAGGCCAATGCTGGACAAATGATGGGCGTGGTTGAGTTACTGGAAAATGAGGTGTTAGGAGAAAGCGTTTAAGAGGGCATAACATACCCTTTTATAAAACTGATGTTTTATAAAGGGAGCCATTGGCTTGGTTATAAGCTAAAAGTTTAGAGGGCCAGGCTGACTAGGGGATGGTCATAAACAGAGTGACAACTGCAAAAAGCAGGGGCCGGGCATTGAGCATGCAGAAGCTGGGGGCTGGGACAGGGCAGCTTTGAAGAACTTCCTACATGACGGCCAGCCTCAGCATGTTGCGCGGTGTGTAGGTTCATATGCGATCGGCTAAAATCCTAGGTATGTGAAGGAATTATTGGGAGTTAAGGTTGAGAAGAAGTAAATATTAGGGCTATATGCTAGCGGGGTTTCATGGTTAAAGCTTCCCCTGCTTCACCTGTGCAGAGTTGGCTCCTGCCAGGACTTCCAAGGACCATACCTGTCTGAGCACATCCTGGACTCAACCTGAGTGTTCCAAACTCCTCCCCACCCAGTGATGGGAAGCAATGAGGCACCTTCTAAAGAGATTCAGGGTTGAACTGGACAGCCTCAGACCTTGGAGACTAGATCAAAACCAGTTCCCGAAGGTCTTTTTTAGCACCATCTTGGTTTGAAGGCTTTGAGTCTTCTTGAGTCAGGTCAGCAGGGTCCTGTTCCTTGGTCTAGAAACCTCAACATGGGCACGGGTGAGACGTCCTTCCCTTCCAGATGTTTCTTTTCCTAGGCAGATGGGCAGGACCTTATCTCTGGATGAGATTAGGGGACCTTCAGCTATTTCTGCACTTGCTGGATTCCTCTTTGGAGTTTTATCACACCCTCTCCTGCTGAATGATATACTTTACTTTGTCTGTGTCTTCGTTGCTCAACTAGATTTTTCCCTGGGGACAGGACTCCATGTTTCCTCTTTACCTGTCTGTATCACGTTAGCAAGGGAGGGCAGGTCTTGGTCCTCATAGAGAAGGTACATTTCTGAGGCCATGCAAGGGTGACTGGGGTTCCAAAAGTAGGCACAGCAACTGTTGTCAACAGGTTGACAAAATATGACTAATGTGGCAATACATCTTTGACTATTATTATTATTATAGTGGCCAAATCTATGTGGCAGAAATGTGCCTTGATGTTTTAATACTCACCCCATGTAATCATCCCACAAAATGACATAAGCTTCATTTATTCATTTTACTGTTAAGAAACCTGTAGTCAGGGAAACCAAGTAAAATATGCAGAGTGACAAAGCCAGTGATTAACCTCAGTGGTAAACAACACAACAGGTAAAGCCACAGGTGAAGAAAGGAGCAAGATGCACACTCGATTTTGAAGGAACTTCCAGATTTATAACCTTGAAAGGAGAGATGAAGATTGGTCCAACAGTCCTAAATACCGTATGTTGAGGTAGCAGCAGTTCAGATGGATGGGGTGAAGCAGAGAATAGGAGGGGAGATCAGGTACATCGACAGACAGTAGACTGCAGGATTTTCATTACAGAAGATTTTATCTCTGAAAATAAATTTTTTAATTTAACAAATATCAGAGAGTTAATTAAAACAAAAATAAAGAATTAGAGTCCTGAGAAGCCCTGTGCAGGACACACCTTGATATGGTTTGGCTGTGTCCCCACCCAAATCTCATCTTGAACTGTAGCTCCCACAATTCCTGCATGATGTGAGAGGGACCCTATGAGAGGTAATTGCATCATGGGGGCGGGTTTTTCCCATGTTATTCTCATGATAGTAAGTCTCACAAGATCTGATGGTTTTATAAAGGGCAGTTGCCCCCGCACACCCTCTCTTGCCTGCCACCATTTAAGATGTGCCTTTGCTCCTCCTTTGTCTTCCACCATGATTGTGAGGCCTCCTCAGCCATGTGGAACTGTGAGTCCATTAAATCTCCTTTTCTTTGTAAATTACCCAGTCTCAGGTATGTCGTTATTAGCAGCATGAGAACAGACTAATACACACCTTGATTAGCTATCTTTTGTTCCCTTCTACTGTGTTATGTTGAATGGCCAAACTTCAACAACAAAAGCACAAAGGATGCAGCAGAGATTGTCTTCAGTTGTCCAACCTTCCCTTCCCAAGTGAAAACCCTCCTGCCCTGCTCCACACCAGCTCTCCTTCTTTCCTGGAATTCAATGTTCCTGATACCATTGGCTTATACACACCCATCAAAATGAGAACAAAGCCAATAGCCACAGAGCCTATTTTGAATTGGGAATTAATATCAATGCATTGCGTTGATCAAGGCATTTTCATTTCAAGCAAAATTTTCTACTAATCACAAAATGAAAAACTCTGTCATTGCAAAGAAATATTTGGGGCAATGGCAAGCATGCATAAACAATTATTATGATTAGAATGATTTTTTAAAATTAGTGAGGACAGCATGTCATAGGCTGCTTGGGATGATTAAAACGATAATCCTCGTAAAGTATTTATCAAAATGTTTGGCTCAGGATTT